ACTGAGCCCTGGGGAACACCGCTCATGACCGTCCGCCAACTGGATTGAACTCCATTCACCACAACTCTCTGGGCCCGGCCATCCAGCCAGTTTTTTTACCCAGCGAAGAGTACACCTGTCTATGCTGTGTGTTGCCAGCTTTTCTAGCAGAATGCTGTGGGAGACAGTGTCAAAGGCTTTACTGAAGTCCAGGTAGACCACATCCACAGCCTTTCCCTCATCCACTAGGCGGGTCACCTGGTCATAGAAGGAGATCAGGTTGGTCAAGCAGGACCTGCCTTTCATGAACCCATGCTGGCTGAGCCTGATGCCCTGGTTGTCCCGCACGTGCCTTGTGACTCAAGATGAACTGCTCCATAATCTTCCCCGGCACCGAGGTCAGGCTGACAGCCCTGTAGTTCCCCGGATCCTCCTTCCGGCCCTTCTTGTAGATGGGCATCACATTGGCCAGCCTCCAGTTGTCCAGGACCTTCCCCATTAACCAGGACTGCTGATAAATGATGAAGAGGGGCTTGGCGAGCTCCTCCGCCAGATCCCTCAGCACTCTCAGGTGGATCCCATAGACTTGTGAGCATCCAGGTGGTGTAGCAGGTCGTTAACTGCTTCCTCTTGGATTATGGGGGGCTTATCCTGCTCGCCATCCCTGTCTTCCAGCTCAGGGGGCTGGGTACCCTGAGGATAACTAGTCTGACTATTAAAGACTGAGGCAAAGAAGGCATTAAGTACCTCAGCCTTTTCCTCGTCCTCGGTGACAATGTTCCCCCCCGCATCCAATAAAGAATGGAGATTCTCCCCGGCTCTCTTTTTGTCATTAATATATTTGTAAAAACATTTTTTGTTGTCTCTAAGATAGTAAGAGGTGCTGGTTTCCGAGCAAACTGTTTATGGCCTGCCTCAATCCAAACTTTTGAGCTGCAAAACATAACTAGTTCTGATATGCCGATACACATCAAGTACAGAAAAACCCTGGATGCGGAGGATAGACCTCAGTTTTTTAAAGAATAGGGGAAGGCAGCCCTTTACCCAGCAAAGCTCACAGGTTTTAATAAAACAGCTTCAAACTTATGATTGCTGTATATTGCCAGCAAAATAGCCAAGCAATGAAAGGAAACATCCAAGCCTCTGGCACACAGGAACTTTCCAGTATATCACTCACTGATTATCTCGCTCCTTAATCTGTGACACATGAAAATTTAGGACTGTCCCTTCTAAATTGTCTCACCCCCCGTATACTCATTTAGGCCTGAGACTACCATCTGCTCTTTGGTTCAGCTTACTTGCAGTGCCACAGACTGTACAGTATCACTAAAAATAAACCAGAGCAAGTGCCTCATTCATCCAGTCTCTTGGTGCACTCTCCATGCAGCTGTCAATGGCTAGAAAGCGTATACGGAAATCTGCGGAACAGTTAGGTTTGTGATAGCGGAAATGATGACCCTGCATAGCAATAAATGCCGCCCAGAGCTTTTCTGGGAGAAAATCAAACCCCTTGCTCTCTTTGGCACGCACGTTCACTTCAAAGTTGAAATGATTTTTTACTGACGTCTAAACATAGTGTCATGACAAAAATGATATCTGAGCCTGGGAGGCACTGAATTTGCCCAGGGCGGCTGTGTCCCTTCAAGGGCTTGCAGGATTAAATCCAACATCTTTCCTTCCACCTTTGCTTTAGAAACAGAGGTTTGGTCATTTGAAGGGTCAACTTAAGTTTATAGATCTTGGCCATCGTGCCTCCAGAGCAATAAACTAAACCAGAAATATCTGTCATTAACAATAAAATAGTGATTTATCTGCTTTCAGTGAAACTTTACGCTTTGACAAGTCAAGTTATCAATGGGGAGATGCAGTTCTACGCCAGGGCCAAACACTTCTACCGGGAGGTGCCAGCCACAGAAGAGGGCATGATGGGAGACTACATTGAGCTCTCCAATACAGACATTGAATCCTCCAGGGAGTTTCTCAGGAAGTTTGTTGGGGTGAGTCATTTAATCCCATCTTCTGCAAGAAACGGTGTTGTGTCATAAATGACATGCACTGTGCCCGGTCACATATATTTTAAATGGCACCGTATGTCAATATTTGATATGCAGTCACAGGTCATAACTGACTGTCGTTGGGTCTAGTAATGTATTCTGCCAGGTCATGCATCATCATGAATACACATTTTGCCTGGCCATATGTCATTATTTACCTGTTTTGCATCCCTTTCTTATGCTCCAAAGCTTCAAAGACGATTGTGCAAGGAGTTTTTATAGCTGTGTTTGGGTGGGAGATTAATTCTCAGTGCAGGACTGGGACCTTTCATGATAAAATCCTTGCTGGCTTCAGTGGGAGATTTGCCTGTGCAAATTCCTGCAGTACATTTGGGAAAGTAACTGAGACTAAATGCCAAGTTTCTGTTTTGCCTATTTATAGATATTTCTGAGAATGCTGCAACAAAACCCAGCCCTCCCTGCGCCCCTCCCCAAACATTAGGAGCATATAGAATAAGCTACCCATTAGGAAAAGTATTTTTTTCTTGAACATTCCAGTGTCACTAAGGACCTTTGCAGGTAGGTTTCTAAAGGTCTGTAAACATCTTCAAAGGTCTGCTTTGACCTGAGATACAAAGAGATGCCAAGTGGGATTTTAAAAGCACCTACAATAGCAATATCACTTTGGCACTTAGGTTTCTGAAAATCCTGTTGATGCCTAAATGTGTCTTTGGGAATCTGCAAATCTTTAAAAGTGCAGCCTGGTGGTTTTCTGACTGCCCTTCCCTCTTCCCAGGGGAAAAGCCCACTAAATTAGCTCAACAACAGTATTAGATGCTAAAGAATCCACAAAGCTCCAGGAAACCAAATTTCTTAAGTTCTCCTGCTCACAAAATTACTAGTTCTATATAATGCTACCATAGATCTTTCATTTTCTGCTCAAATGTACAAATTTGGGATAGCCAGATGACCTTTTTTTAGTCTTAATGATCTACTATGGGAAAAAAGCTCAATAGGTTAATTAGATGTTGTGTATAAAAAAGGGCACAGTTTAAATGGATTGGGATGGAAAATGAGTGTGGCTTAACAACTAATAGAAATCCTGTATAGCAGTGAAGGGCAACTGATAACAAAGTTTGCTGTACCTGATAGAGGGAGGCTTTTGGGGCAGTGAGCCAGCAAAACACAAGTGAATAGCTACATTTTTTTCATTAACAGTCATTTTTATTAATGCTAATGCAAAAAGGCTTCACAACATTTCAAAGCCTCGCTATATCAGGCTTTCTACAAACACAAAATAAGAAAATACAAAGGAAGTTCAGCAAGGCAGCTGAACCTGATGGTAAAATGGCATTTTCCAAAAAAAATGAAATGCAACTTAATGAGTCTAGGGCCAGCTCAAGGCATATTCCTTAAATTTTACTTAAGTCTTGTTTTAAGGACATTTGTGGAATTCAAGTGGTGCATAAGCATGTACTCACAGAAAGATTTCACGCTTCCTAGACATCATATAGATTCAGTTTCCTGAACGGCAGGTTTATATCACACTGTTAAGCTTTCTCATCTCCAAGACCCGAAAAGGAAAGAAGTACAGTCTGTAGCAGAGTTTCACATGCCAAAGAGAAATCATACCCAATGCGTCAGGTGTGATGACAGATACAAAATACTCCAAAGCAGAGTTCCTACTCCTATTATTAGCCAGGGATAGAAAGGATACTCTGAATGGCCAAGATCAAACAAGGAAAAAAAAAAAGGAACAGAAAGGAATCTGCCCGTTTTGCTAGTTCTGATTTAGTTTGTTAAAGCCTGTCCTCTGTTGAGATCCAGTCAATTGGTTATGTTACTTATGGTTTACTTTCCTTTCTTACTACTGCAATTTGAATCCTACTCGACCAGATACACATATTTACTGGCTTTCTGTAGTAGTGACTTTATTCTAAAGCTAATTTGAGTTACGTCTTCCCAAGTTTATGGCTGTATGAATAATTTTTTTTTCCAGTAAGGTGATCAAGGTAGAAAAAAGCAATTTGCTTCACCCTAATATAAACTATACTTTCTTTTTTAAAGAGAAGTTGAACAAAATCAGAAAATAGGAAAATTAATTTCAGATCAACTTAATATATTTCACTTAAATTTTTTTATTGTTTTACCCTCTGAAAAACTTTTCCCTTTGTTTTCAAGATATAAGTCAGTTCCAAAATGAAAAATGCTGTTTAGAAATGAAAAGTTGACAAGTTATTTTTTTTTCCTTGAAAGTTGTGAATAAGAAGTATCTTGACATTTTCAACATTCTTTCCCATGTTTTTTGGCTATAACTATTCTCTAGCTTTGAAATATCAATTTCACAGAGAGTTTTATTCTTCCAAAACTTTATTTTCTGGCAAAACTAGTGCTCCTTAAAAAACAGTTGCCCAGTTCCACTCAAATTACCCCTCTTGAGTTAGTTTGGCTGGTGTGGAAATGTCACACAGTGACATTTCCCTTACATGACTGATGTTGCATACCTTCATGTATGGCATTTCTTAGCATGATTCTTAGCACTACTGTAAACTGAGCTACAGATTTCTTTACCATTGGAGAATTTATCTTGCCTGGGCGCATGGAAGGAATTACAGAAAGGACTAAGGACTTCACTTATATTTTAGCCTGTCTCTTTCCCAGGCAAGTCAAACTGAGTTAAAAGTGCCACTGTGCTCAAGTTAAGAGGTTTTATGTGTGTGTGGGCAGAACTCAAACCAAGAACAACATTACTTGAGCCAACAGTGCTGTACAGACAAGCTATAGGCTGTCTCAGGTACAGCCATACTTGAAGGGTTATCAGCAGAGCTATAGCACTGCATATTTATGGCAATGTATTAATGCCAGTTAAAGCCTTGATGTCCACATAGACACTGTGTTTTCAAGTGCCTAATCTGGAGGTAATGTGTAAAAAAGGAAACAAAGAAAACAAAGAAACCATTAATTCAGGAACAGTTGTGAGCTATAGGTGTGTGAAATAATACAGACAGAGATTATATTAACCTTATAGCTCCCTTTCTGCCCTAAACCCTTTCTCCCTTTCTTGCCCGCAGTTCACCTGCCTGATTGGTTACTTGCTGAATGAAAAGCTTCTTGAAAGTGATTTTTCTCCTGTTTGATCAGGGGGATGGAAGAGACGTTGTTGAAAACCTGATTTTTATTTTTTTTTAATTTAGGAAAAAAAACACTGTGGTTTTTATCTATTATTTCTTGAACTCTGATTTCTTTTTTATCCTACATATCTACACTGCCTTCCTGCCCTTCCAAGATCTGAAGTAACATCAGGAACATATTCCACAGCTCTTTTATCCCTAAGGAAATTTGTGAGTGCCCTATTTAGCTTTACAGAAGAATTTTTGGGTGTGTATGTGTCCTACATGATAGCGATTCTGAGTAATGGGAAGCAGGTAGTCAGAGGAGCAGTCAATCTTAAATTTTGAAGCCTGTTCTGGCTTAAAATTTTCGCTTGTACTATTTTTTAAAATAAGGAGTCTGATTTTCAACTCAATTAGGCTTTTGGGAAAATGATTGCCTTCCAAAGAAAATGTTAATACCCTGTCAAAGCTCTGAGCACTTCCAAACTGAAAATATATTAGCTGAACATGGAATTATGTCAACATTTTCATTACAAACGGAGCTGTGGTGCTGCACAGGGCTTCTCAGCTGACTGCCTGATGCTCTTGCTCCCTTTCAGTGAAGTGTGGGATCAAGCTTCATCTCCCATGATTGTCCCCTTTCCTTCTTCTCAATGGCAAATGGAGATGGGTCATCAGAGGTCCTTGCCATGACACATCATGGGAGATGAATTCCGTGTTTCGAGTGAGGTACTGTGACTGAAACACAAACGTCAAAGAAGTTATATGGCTTTTTGTCGAATTCTGTTAGTTGTTTTGGTAAATCATCCTGGTTTTCTCACCAGCTTTCTCAAAGATTTTTGCTTAATCACATCGGTGTAGGCCTGTATGTATCTGCCAGCAAACAATATGGAAATCCACCTTGTAAAGATCCAAGACACAGTTCCTTCTCCTTTCATGAACTCCTTGTTACAGCTTAGTCTGGTCCTCAGTAAAAGCCACATGCTCCTAAGTGCAGCCTGTGAATGAAGAATGGCTCACATTTTCCGGCTAACTACAAACAGGTAGTCTCCAGAGTCCAATAGGGTTGAAGGCTTGTGGACTCTTGCACACATCGGGAGATTAATCTTCCTAGGTATACAAATTGGGACCAGCAGCCCTGGAGACTGGTGAGAGCCTTTGAGGTCCTTGTGCTCTTTCTACAGTTACTCTGTGTAACCAGATGCTCAGCTGGGCTATTCATAGTCATGTCATTGGCAGTACTGTCCTTTGACCTTAATAATCTACTGAATTACCCACTGAAGCAAGGCCAAAAAAGCAGTGAGTTACATGATTTATTCTTGGTCATTACAGAGGGGGTCTCCCAATAAGCAGGAAGAGCAAGACTCTTTCTGGGCTTATTTCCGTTAAGAGCAGTGAAGTTGCAGCAGGGACTTTGGCCCATAGCTTTCACTTCAACACTCAGTTCCAGGGGACAGGGAAAAGGTGTTTACATTTGCTTTTAATATATTTGTTTAAAAGATAACTTTGGCCAGGGGAGCTTCAATCCCACAGTCAGTACATGTACAAACTTAAAATTTCTGTTTTACAGAACAGCAGCAGGCTCTTAAGAGCCTTTTTATAGGTAGAATGGAAGCTTTAGGGGTGAAATACAGCTTTCATTATAAAGCTCCTTTTACAGTGACTCATTATTTTCTCATAGACATAGCCTTTATGCCACATTTTTTCATGTCTGATCTCTGTCCAGAGATGATATTTATGAAGCAAAAAAGAACGGTTAAGCAAAATCTACTCAATCATCTTTCTTGTCTCTGTGCCTAAAAAAGAAATTCTGTATGTGCTCCAGTCCAAACTTTTTGAGTTGTCATAAGTTACCTACAACTCCAAGATCTTAATTCAAACACAGCTTGTTTTGAAAACTGCACTCTGATCCCAAGGATGCTGTGTATCTGCAGAGATGTCCATGGGCACCTTGGGAGTTCTGTGCTGCAGAAGTTACTTCTTGCCTGCAGTATTTGGTATACGCTTACTTTTTTGTTAGGCCTTTACAGGGCTCAGAATGAGGCTTATCTAGCCATGTAGTTGGCTGTGAGGTATGAATATTTAACAGATGAAGTTGCAAGGACTTTACAAAGACCAGTGGATCTTCTGAGAAAGCTAGGAGCTTGTGAAATATTACGTCTTTTCTTATACCAAGCAAAACCTTATTGTACAGCAATAAATGCAGGGCTGCAATGATGAAGTCCCATCAACAAGCAGCCTGGGAACATAGCCGCCCAGCTCGGCTCACACATAGGTACCCAAAGCTGTATTGATACTGTCCCAGGTTCTTATCAATCTTAGAACAGCCCTGCACAAATAAGGCGACAAAACACTAGGCTTGGTGGACTAAAGGCCATAGCGGATAACACAGTTGCTATAATCTTTCAGGTGGCATTTTTCAGATTTCAAATGATTTTCTTGTATCCCACAGGGGGTGGGGAAAGCTGGTACCAACCGCGCCCTGGACTGCGGCTCTGGGATAGGTCGTATCAGCAAGCATGTCCTGTTACCAGTTTTCAAGAGCGTGGAACTGGTGGATATGATGGAGAACTTCCTGGCTGAGGTCCCGAACTACCTGCAGGGCAAGGAGGACAGAGTAGAGATGTATTATTGCAAAAGCCTTCAGGAATTCACTCCATCCCCACAAAGATATGATGTCATCTGGATTCAGTGGGTTTCAGGTTAGTTCAGCATGATTCATCAGCCCAGCATCTCAAAGAACTATACAGCCTGTGCTGAAGTTTATGTTAAAAGAATGGTGCAGCTGTTAAAGGATGTTCTCAAATCTTTGGGACTGCTTCCTAAAGTCTCACAAGAGACTTCTGAGAGTTCTCCCCAGCCACATGCACAGCTTGTTTTGAAAACTGCACTCTGATCCCAAGGATGCTGTGTATCTGCAGAGATGTCCATGGGCACCTTGGGAGTTCTGTGCTGCAGAAGTTACTTCTTGCCTGCAGTATTTGGTATATGCTTACTTTTTTGTTAGGCCTTTACAGGGCTCAGAATGAGGCTTATCTAGCCATGTAGTTGGCTGTGAGGTATGAATATTTAACAGATGAAGTTGCAAGGACTTTACAAAGACCAGTGGATCTTCTGAGAAAGGGTACAAATCAAGTTGGGGTTTTTTAGGTCACGTACTGGAGGAAGGTACATGTTCTTGGAGAGTAGCCTGTATGCTAAGGTGCAACTCAGGTGTAGGCTTTATATATGGGTTTTCTTGAGCAGGAATCCTCCTTCTTAGTTGCCAGTGCTGCGGACACATACACGGGGTTGGCCTCACCTGTGAGCAGGGATTTCTGAATCTGATGATTATCCAGACTTGGGGGTATTTCAGGAAACAATCTGAAAAAAGCCATAGTGAAATCACCAATACCTATAAACCAGATCGTGCTTATCAAACAGGTTCACTTAGCTATATGTCCCACAGTACCCCCTCACATAAGAAATATCTGCTTCTTCTCCTGCAGCCACCCCCGTGAATGCCCTGCAGCATTAAAAGCAGCAGACTGGCGATCAGATAATGTGGGCTATGTTCCTCACCAAAAAAAAAAAGTTTCTTAATTTTTTTCTAGAAAACCTGCTGCAGTGCTTAACTGTCCTTCCAGAAAGAAGGTTTTCTCCTAATCTGTGAACCTAAGTGTCCACGGTGCAGTTTCAGCTGGCAGAAGTCATTATTCTAAAGCACAAGAGGAGGCCTGAACAACTCCTTCTCTCCAAAACCCTGGAGATAGATAGTTTCTTGCTAGGCAAAAAGAAAGATAAAGGTAGAGAGATTAGCACAGGCGATGGTTTTTTTCAGGAACACTTATTTGTCCTCTACACATAGTCTTAAAAAGTGAAACTGAGCTTCTTAGAACAGGTCTTTATAGCTGTACAAGCAAATTGCTTCAGAACAATATAATTTTCCTTTGTATTTTTGCTTTTCTTGAATAACCAGTCATTGCAGTAAATGTAGCTCCTGCCTCATCTTTTGAGCAAATCTGAGTCAACATGAGACTGAATGAGCTAAGACTTGTCTGAGGCTGTGCTGATCAGCTATGTGGCTGCTAACGAAGGGAGCATATGCCTTTTCTTTAGCATAAACACAAATCTGAATCTCCTTCCTCCATCAATTTCAATGAAACATGTAGTGATCTTAAGTATTAATCAAACTTCTACCCCTATCTTGAATTTGACAGAAATATGCCAATGAGCTCAACACTTTTTGGTGGAGCAAGGGCAGAACTGTCTGGTAGAGAGCAACACCATGAAGATCTCATTTTCTTAGGAAACTAGGCTAAAAGCTAAGTTAAGAGAACATTAAGTTCCAAATTAGGTGTTCAAAAGCTTCAATGAATCTTGCCAATGCAATCTTGATTTGTCTTATGTATGCGTAAGTATATGAGCCCAGGCTGTTACTTTATGAAAAAATAAAAATGCAAGTTTACATTTCATATAGAAATTACCATTTTCCTTCAACTTGAAAGGTTTTCAGCTTTAGGCTTTGGGGCTTTTTTCTTTTTCTTTTTTTTTGGGGGTGGTTAAAGAAACCTGACATACTATGTCAAAATGTGGTTTTGAAACGACAACTTCCATTTATAAAAGTTTAAATCTTCCATCAAGAAAACTAAATATTTTGACTAGAAAATACAAACGATTATTTTTTTCAAGTTTTTCATTCAGTTTCTGACCACCTGTCCTTGTTAATTCATTTTAGATGTTTCACATGTGAGAGTTCTCATTTTGCTCTTCTCTGAACCCTGCACTACTGATCTCAACAGAAGTATTGATCTTTGAGAAGGAAGGATAAAAAACACAATCTCAATAACATATTGAAAAAAGTACTATTTTAAAATGTATATGGCATATGCAGAAAGCACAACAGTATGGGGTAATATAAAGAGTTTATTTGGCAGTTTGGAAGGCCTTGCATTCCTCACTGGATCTTTGATCCAGAACTCCTTTGATGGGTACATAATGTTACACAAAGTTGCAGAGATTTGTAGCATTAAAAGACAGAAGGGACTGTTAGATTATCTAGTTTGACCTACTCTATATCACAAGCTGTTATATTCATTCCTTTACCCTTGTACTGAGCCAGTAGTTTGTGTTCAATTAAAACATATCTTGAGAAATTCAACCACGTTTGATTTGAGGACTTCAATAGGTGGTAAACACCACTTCTGTTGGTAGTTTCCAATGGATAATTACTTACACTGTTAAACAGTTGTCACTTATTTCCAATATGAATTTGTTTGGCTCCGGCTTCCTGCCACTGATTCTTATTATGACTTTAACCACCAGATTAAAGAACCCTTCAGCACCCAGTATTTTCTCCACTATTCCCATTGACTTCTGTCCACATCTGTTGCTACTACTAATATGGATCCTAAATATTGATTTGTTTGTAACTGTTGATCTCATTGATTTGCCCAATGTTTCATAATTAAATCTGGCAGGACTAGAACTTCTCCTGCAATAAATAGGGTATGGAGACTCAGAACAAGGCACCATTCTGATGTGTGCAGGGGGAGCCTGTTTGAATGGTTAATAGTGATCTGTTTTCCATCTTTTCATCTGTAGGATATCTGACAGATAAAGATCTCCTGGAGTTTCTTATCCGGTGCCAAAATGGCTTGAAGGATAATGGTGTTATCATTCTCAAGGACAACGTAGCCAGGGAGGGCTGTATCCTGGATTGTCTGGATAGTAGTGTGATCCGAGACCTGAACATCCTCCACAGCCTCGTTGAAATGAGTGGACTCACCATCCTACGAGAGGAGAGGCAGGAGGGATTCCCTGAGCAGTGTGTCCCTGTCTGGATGTTGGCCATGCAGAAAGGCCCTGGCCATTCCTGATTGCATAGTGAGACTGCAGAAACTGGACTATGGATGAACCACAGGACTGGGAAGGAGAAAAGCATCTGCTAGAATCCTCCTAACCATGCATTGCTACTACTACAACTCTAGGGCAGCAACACCTAAAGGATCGTGAGAGAATTACAATTGAGCCAACTTCTCCAGGGAATAGTCTGCTTCTAAATCCTGCCTGCTTCATCATTCTCTCCATTTTTAAAAGCCTTTCTAACAGCTCCTTGTCAGATCTCTCTTTCATTAAGGAGTCAATACTGGACAAAACTCGACTAATAGAAAATAATTAGGTCTGAAGTTTCTGTAGTGGCTAATATATTTTGGAGTGTTCTGTATGAGGTGTTAACAAATAAGACTGGTTTTTACTATGTCACTTTAATATTCTTGGAATTTAAGAAGGATCTGTCAGATCACTGAAGCAGGAAATTCAAATAACTTCTGGAAAACCTAACCCAAATTTCGACTGTCATCACTATCTGTACTTTAAAATATTCAAACCAAAAATGTAAGGAAAGTTTTATCCATTTGTTGGCATCAGCTATGCAGTTTATTTATTTATTTGCATTTCTGTCAGTTTGGACAATAAGACAACCTGGTTAATTTTCCATTTTTAGGAACTACTTTATCTTCCTGATGTTTCTGCCATAGAATAATAGTGGTGCGTAAGGGTTTTCACACTCCAGAGGAAAACTTAGATGACAAATATATGCATGTTTGCATTGAAATTTTGTGAAAAGATTGCCCCACAAATTACATTCTGGAAAATATTTTTTCAAAATGTTCACAGTGGAAACCACTTGAAAGCTTCTCTTTATTATTCATACCACTGTAAATTTCTTTCTTTCCCACATTCAGAACAAGTCTGGCACCATATGCAGAGCTAATGGGATTTCATGGGGTGTTAATAGTAAGACTGTAAGAAGAATTAATACAGTATTGTATTAATTAACAACTCTACTAAACTACAGAGGGTCTTAGTGTAACCCAAAAGCATCTATGATTTATATTCAAACAGCAGCTGTATAAGCTGGGATTTGAAAATACTAACACACATACCATCTCCTTAAGACTCACAGAAATCACACATTTAAGCTTCTTGTCCTCTTCATATAAGAACAGAAAGCGCTGTGGGAGGACAGAAGTTCATTTTGCAAAAAAATTCAGAATTTGAAATTCTGCTTCATTCTGAATGAGGACAAGAAGGGAGAATTTTGAAATTCTTTATGAAGGAAAACCACACAACCACAGACTTTTCCAAATTGATTAAAATTTTTCATTCAGACAAAATCAAATGTTTGTTTTGAATCGGACTTTTAAAATAATATGCATTTAAAATATTACTAAATGCAGTAAAAAGCAAATTAAATATGACTTGTTCAAAATTTTAGAAATTAATGATAACATTAGAATGGACCGTTCTGACTCTGTCAGAATTTTTATTGTGTTTTATTCCCTTGAAATGCAATTCTGGCAAAACTTATCAGACTTTTTAAAGAGTTGCATAATGACAAACCTCCGTGTTCTGATGGAAAGGGGTTCTATAAAACATCCTCCACGTGACTGTACGCACAATTGTCTGTGTCAAATATTGTTGTCTGTGTTAGATTAGATTAACTCACATAGAAGCCTGAAGATAATGAGATCAGGGAACTTCTCAGCTGGATTTTAGTACACTTTGCCATCCTTTGATAACAAAACTCCAGTTTTGGTTTTAATTGCATAACTTATCTTCTCTAGCAATATGGTTGCATATGTTGAGAATTTCCAATTTATGGCAGAGGGCTTCCTGCCGTCAAATCTTATCCAGTAATTGTTCTCTTAATGTGCCATTGCTAATTGTAGCATTAAGGAAAACCACCCTGGTGTTTTGGTGAATATTCTGGCGTGTCATATAACCTAGAAACCTATGGTTCCCATGACACAGATGCTTCTGGAATGTTTTGGCTAGTTCTTCCATTCTAATCAACTGGTAATGGATGTAAATTTAGTATATAGCATTGTTAAAAACCCTAGGTGAACACTTACATTCTGGAATTGTCCCCACAACTAAGTGCTTCAAACTCCCTTTAAGCCACTACACTGCTTTCGTTCTGCTGAGGCTGCTAAAAGCTGATGTGGTCTTTGCGTGCATATGAGTATGTGCAGATATCTGAAGGAAACCCAGTCATTTGTTTTACAGGAAAGAGGCCTATAGTTAGTAACACTGGTTAGCAATAACAGGAGAATATTTGAAAGGCCTTTACGCAGATTACAAATTAATTTGTCCTTCACCATTTTTTCTTCCAGCCAGAGATGTCTGCCATGGCACAGAATACTTGGGGACTGCTGGAGATCCTAGTACAATCGTGTCTGTGCCAGGCATATCTGAATGGTGTTGGTCACTACAATGGTGAGAGAACGGCATTGTGGAAATAGGGAAGTAAACAATTTTATACAGATCTAAACAGCTGCCACATCTCACAGGGTAGAATATATCAGCTGTTCACTTACACACCAGAGTGGGTGCAGTTCAGTAATGAGAGACGTGGTTCCAGGACAGATATAGAATGTAAAGTGGTTTAGGATGAAATGTAGAATATAAATGACTGGTATTGTTATCAGTGAAATATATTTTTCAAGGTAAAAATGTTCTTCCTCTATTTTGTACATCTTTCCTATTTGAATTTCCAGAATACATAGACATAAACATATTATGAAAATTGGTTCCCTTAACTATATGAGAACAGAGACAAATAAAATCTTAATTTAGTAGAAAAACCCATATTTCATGGTTCCCACATTCCTGGAAATTAATGTTTCATGGCTATGTTGCTTCCACAGTAAAATATTAAAGCTTTTCTGGTGACATAATGAACCTCAAGAGTAAAGAAACACAAGCCCTCCAGGGGCTTAATGCATGCTGAAGACTAAATAATATTTTGGTTTCCTCCTTTTCCAAGGTATATTTTAATTCAAGAACTCCCAGTCAGCCAGTGTAGGACACCCTTAAATGTTCATGAATTTGGGTAAGGGCCATTCTTGGTTTAAAAGTTCAGGGCTCTCTGGACTTTACCGTAGTATATAATAATAATAATAATAATCCATCACAAATTTCAAACAGAAGATCTTGCTTAGGAATCATCTATGTATCAGTTGCTCTTTGGTGTTCAAAGACTGGATAATCAACTGAGTTGCACTGCCTCAACTTTCAGGTTATTTAAACCATGCATTTAAAGAAGTCTTTAGCTCATCAGATTGCAGCGGGAGTTTGAATCCCATTTGTTTGGTGATCATTTAAGACTTGTTCCCGATCTTGACGTTACCAGAAATTTAATCGAAGATCAAGACCCTGGCTGAGGCAAGGTTCACAGAACATTCAGGGTCTTTCAAGCTCAAGCCCTCATTCACCACCAACAGGTAATTAGTGAAATACCCAATTAGTCCTTCAATCAGATGTTTCTCCCACGCAACCACTACTCAAGTAAACGCTTAGCCAAAGTTGCAGTAAGCGCATATCACCACCAAAGCTCTTGGCAATGCTCAGTTTCCCCATATCAGGTCCAGTGCTTCTATTCTGTGTGACTGAAGGCCAAATATTATCTTTATTATATGAATGTGAGGTTCCTTGCAAAAGAGATCCTCAAGCCCTGACAGTAGCCCCCAAATGCTACTGCAACCCAAACAAAATGTACGGAAGCAATTATTACAGCAGTCTGAACAGCAATCCCAACTGTGCAGCTCCAGCAACCATCAAAGCTCAAGCTGTTCGTGTTCCAAAGGCAACTCAGACATTACAAATGTCCTTTCATTCCTAATTGGAAGAAAGAGCCATCATTTTGAAACATATCGCTGAATGGATGTTCTAAAATACTTTGTTTCAGAAATACTGAAATGATCATATCAAATATTTTTCATTTGACTTTCTTGTTTGGATTTTATATAACCTAGTCTAAACTGACATGTTATGTGAGATGATAATATAATATATTATATAGTATTGTAATAGTTGAAGTGAAACATTAGTTTCCTACAGAATACGCTAATAAAATCAGTACATCCCGTGCCCTCAAATTTAGTGAAACAAGTCAGCAATTTCCAGAGGAAACAGTCATTTCGAGAGGAACAATCCTGTAAAGAAGTATTTGCCCAAGCTCTTTTTCTCCAGACGTATCCCATCCATTCAGGCAGCTTGCAGTGTGCCTGGTCTAGGGAGCAGCCACCTTAGGCTGGAGAAGAAACTGGCACCTCCAGAGCAATTCAGACCACCTCAGAGCTGAACTGGCTTGAAATAAGAGAGTCTCCCCTCTCCCTGGTGGTGGTACAGTGGGAATGAAAGTGCATCCTTGTTATAACCAGTTCAGCATCTTCATTGTTAATGTCAAACAGAAGTGCAGTGTGATCTGAGGAGCTGTACTGTCAAAACCAGAAAAAGGCATGGACTTGGATAACCAAACGCCCATTAAAAATCAAAGTCATGGTACCGGGGCACTACATTAATGGGAGCAATATATCACTGCGTAATGCCAACTGACAAAAGCTTTGCCAGTTATTCCACTGAATGCCCTGAGTACCTTTATGCCATTCACTTGTTTTTTCCATTCTCTTAATCCAGGCTCCCCAGAGCGTTTACAATGGCATATCAGACAGTAGGCCTGTCCAGAGGAACTTGACTGTTATGTGTGATTAAAACCAGTTGTGTTGCATCCCATCCCTCTTTTCTTCCTTTGATGCTTCTTCCAACTTGCCAAGAAAATCCCTCCTCCACTTGCCAAAAATGATTTGTTCTCTGTGGACATCACCACATCTCAGTGAAGTAAAACAGATTAGCTTTGATTTTAAGAGGAGGTAATTCTGTTTATCTGAGAGCAATAACAACACGTTGTATTTCAAACATACGGGTTAATACCTGTCTCTTTCAATTGATGTCAAGTAGACACTCCCAGACCTTTGTACCAAAGCTCACGTTCTCATCATCACCATAAATAACAATATTTGTATGACACTATACATCCCAAGACCATGAAGCATGTTTGGAATAAGGAAACTGAGGCACAGAAGGGTGATCTGGGCCACATTACAACTTTACCTAAGTGGTAGCTGTGAGTGATTAACACCTCCACAAATCAGGACACTACAGGAACTACGGAGTGTTTTGCAGGCAGACATAAACTTATTCTGTTTGTGCTTGGAGCAGATTGAAACAGCATGGTTGTGGTTAGCCTGCTTATTAGGCCAACCTGATATGTCCTGCAAAGAGAGGGCTCAGGCTGAACATTGTGCTCATGAACATAAACAGCTTCTGTTCCTTTCAAAGCATTGGAAGAACAATCTAGTGTATGCCTGCAGCAAAAATAAAGACAGAAAATTGGTGGAAAGTCTCTCTTCCCTGTATCTCTCTTCCAAAAGTGTTGAATTTGCAGACATTTCAACCTGTCCTGGTATTTTCAGGCTCCTGAGACTAAGGCTTTTAGAGGCATTTGAAGATGCAGAAGTCCTGTAAGTGCACTGTGGCTTAGCAGATACCTACTGGTGTCTTTGAATGCCTGTACATCTCTGAAGATATGGCTTGTAGGAACGTCAGCTTCACACAAGACTACATTTTCAGAATTATCTAGGAGACCAGATTTGAAAGCATTTAGGTGCCTGTCAGTAGAGGTAGGCATCTAGAGGGATTTCTAAAGTGTTCGGCCAATTCAATCAAAGTTTAGCATCAACATGTCTCTGAAACCCCCTCAGAGAGTTGTAGGCATCTTAGGTACAAATAATCTCACTTGATTTGAGACACCTAAATATAGATGTCTCATCTAAGATAGTTGTCCAGGCTCTCTTTGCAGTCAGTGGAGAAAAACTGGCCCATGCAGGAGACATTCATGGCAGGCCCATGCATTCATTCCATTCTGGATAGATGTATTAAAGATCCAAGCAATGGCAAAGTCCTTCTGAAAGCTCCGTTCAACTGTTTCACTTTACAGTGACTTGAACTGATTTGTAGGTACATTATGCCTGATTGTTCCCCTCTCCCTAACCTCTGACGATGCCCTGTGAATGTAAAATCCTGATTCAGAGACTGTTTCTTCCAGATCTATAGCAGAGATTCCCAAACAGTGGCACACAGGCCACAAGTGCTGTCGAGCCTCTACAAAGTGGTACGCAACACTTTCTGAGCAGCCTTCTATATGCACGTGCAGCCTGATGCTGCTGGGAGCAGCTTCAGTTCCTGCTGCCACTGCTGCTGGGGCAATACTCCAGCGTGGAAATCCTCCCACACTCCTCCAATAACAGAATAACAAACATACAGCATCATCAATTCCAGAAAGTCAAAAATCACAGATCTAGCTTCAAAATATCTGGAAGATTTATCTGTGTGTGTACACACACGGTTAAGAGTTTTACAGATGTATACGCATGCATGTGGTATATATGCAGTTTGTATTAGCCAAGATGACCTGTGGTCCTTGGAATATGTGTGGCTTGCCAGCTTTTCATAAGGCATCTGCTGCAGTGGAACAGGGGCCGCTATGTAATGTGGATCCCCAGCCACACAAAGAAATGGTCCAGCACTGTTTGCCAAGGCAACTGTTGCTGCATCAGCATTGGATGTCATCTGCTCAACCTGGCTCCATCCCAGGACTCCATGGCAGGATCCCTTGGGTGACACCTGGCATGTCTCACTTGTAAAACCCACTCAGATCTGCCCTAGCCTCTTTGAATTATTTTGGTTGCATCTTAAGCCTCTCAGTCATGTGAGGATTTTGTAATGTGGTACATAGGATCAGCTAAGATGACCTAATGACCTTGTGGCTCCCTTCTCTATGGCTGCATGTAATCACAGGGCACACCAGGCGTGAGATGCTTCTCACCTAATTTGGACATCTAAGAGACACTTGTCTGAGGTTAAGGTAATTGTCAAGACATCCCATGATTGTCACTGGGGAGAGATCAGCTCCTCCCAGAAAGCTTCTTCCCTCCTGAGATGGTTACCCCATATACTCAACTGTAGAAGAAGCCTACAGGACTGTCTTAGGTTCATACAAGTCATTCTTAGGTGTTTAAGTGAAGTGAGATGAATTCCAGCTCAAGTGTATGAGAATTCATGGACCCCACCGTGAGACCAGTCTTCAGTGCATTCAAGTCTGTTCTTTCTCCCACAGATGCAGAACTTGGATCTGCAGCCCCAGCTGTAAAAATCTTACAACTCTGAAAGCCTCTACCGAGGACCAAAGTGAAGGTTGTTGGAAATTACTCCATCTTGGACCTTTTAGCATTTTCCTTTCAGAAGGTATGGGCACGGATACTCCTGAAAACTCAGTGGAGTACAAAATTATACCGATGTTTGGCTTGTACCTCCCACAGATAGACATGATGAGTTTCCTGAGGGGTGCTTTTTGCACTCTGGATTGATCGGTTTACCAATGAGCCAGGGCTGACCCTCTGTTGGGTCTTATTAAATAACACACTAGTTTTATTTATGGATCAGTACATGTGTGCATTGCTAAATAAACAAGTGGCTTCTCCTAAAATCAGGGTACCATTGGCAAACTCTTAAAAATCCAACCCATAAAATAAACAGACTCCAGGAGTTACCTGTGACTCCCACCACTGCAGTAACTTCAAGGTAAAAAGAAGTCAATAAACCCCCATCAACAAAATCCCCACTGGGATCCAGCAGCTGAGACTCTGAAGCAGCAGTCATCAGGAGAAACTAAGTGATTCAGTAAAACATTAACGTTCCCAGAGGAACCATATTTGGGCTGCCTTGATTTGGTGAGAGAGGCAGCCCTGACCACTTACCAAAGGCAAAACGTAGGCCATTGAAGAGACTCCTGTTTGGATAGTGTCTGTAGAGCCACTCTGCTATCTGACTTGCTCCCTGCCTGTGATCAGGCTATGTATCATCCCTAACTGTCTAGATGTCAAGGCAGAGGGACACTGAGCAAGTGAGTACTTTCTCACCCTACACTGTCAGTTCACTGCTCAGGTAGGATTCAGTCTCTGACTTTCTGTCCTCCCAGATCTTGCAGATCCCCAAACTGATGTCTGATAGCACCTTCAGTTTGCAGCATGCAGTAATTCTGATTTCAGTGGGCAGAGCAAACCCTGCCTTTGCCCTAATGGAGCTGAGATCAGTAACTAATGACCTCTTTTTCTGGGCTCTTTCAGCACAGGCAGCTTTGTCCTGTCTCCCCCAACAGACTGCACTCCCTACAGCAAGGACAGAAATAATACCACCTTAGTACAGCAAGGAGAGAAATACCACCTCACAAAACATGGCTGAGCACATCATTGTGGTGATCCAAACCAGCCATGCAACAGCCAGGACAGGTGCATGTACCAAAGAGAAAGGATGTAGGAACCAGTGGACTACCTTCCATTGCTGCCTTCTCAGGTAGACAGATCTACTTACCGTCAGGCTTTTATGGCCTCCAGCATCTCAGCATTACAGCATGTTATAATAATTAGTACATTGATCCCTTCCACCTCACTGTCAGGTAGGGAAGTACTAGTTAGCTTCATTGCATGTATGGGAACCCCAGAAAGCAGAGTTACCTTCATCTCGTTTTACTTCAGCTACTTAGTCCAACTGGTTATTGGAACTACCTAATAATCAGGGAAGCAAGGCCAGTACCTCTGCAAGACTTTTCAGTCCATCTGATGCTAGTGGAAAAACCTGACGTTAGGAATATCCTGTCTCTCTCTGCTGATTAGTGATTTGGTCTTCAGCTGGGACCATATACCTAATGTTAAATGAGTTGAATCTCACCTTGAGGGAAGAGGGGCCTTAGAGAGTTGTATGCGTTAGAGCAGGGAACAGAACCCAGCTCTCCTTAGTCACAGTCATGTGCTCATACCCCTGAGCCATTTTCTCTCTTATTTGTGTAAACTGAGGGGACTTGGGTTTCCAGCATGGTAAACAAGGATTTAGCTACTTCCTCCCTTCTCACAAATAACTTTCCCTGAAATTAACATGATAAACACAACCCTTGCTCTCAAAAAAGCCTTTCTGCTTAGTGTTGTTTTTGTAACTGATCCTCTGCTGGAAAACAAGCAACTAAAATTTCTGCTAAAAACAACCCAAGGGAACCTCTTAACAATAACATTACAAGCAGTCTTATACCCTGCTCCACTGGGTCCTGTGACAGAAGGGTGGACACCCACCCATGGATGGGTTTGTAATCCTGTGTGATAAAGAAGCACTATGGTGGCTGGCAGCACGCAGACAGCGGCATAGAGTGCCTCGCTACCCTCCAGCTTTGTGCCATGCTTATCAGACAAGAGTGGACAGAGCAGCACCTAGCACCTGGGATCAGGAGCCAGAAAGAAGCTGTAGCCTCATGCTGGGCATGTGTGAGTTGCAACGGTGGTGGTGGGAAAGGAGTGGGATGATTGACATAGAAAGCAGGAGACTTGACAGGCCGGAATATTTTCATCCTCAAACACCCCACTGTGAGAATGGCTTTCAAATAATGACATTTTAGGAAATAATAATCTTGTGCTTCTAGTTAACACCCTTTAAGGCTTAACTGCATCGTGGTTAGAAAGTTGTTCTTTCAAAATGAAAATTCTCACATAACTAGAGAATGTAGAAGTGGGTCTAACCTGGCTTTGCAGATTGTGTCCTCCCTTTCTGTCCCATAAAAATAAGTGCACACAAATAGCCTGATGTATCTATAGAAGCACAGTGGCAGAAATCAAAGATCAAGCCAAAGGTGACGAGTAAGGAGAAGGCAGTCATAGATAGGAGAAAAACAGGGACTGTGCTACTCCTTTTGACTGGGGAATACCAAGAAACTTGCTGGCTACCGCATAGTCTAGGAATATGTGTTGGAACTGTGCCTTCTAAATGTCTCTACTTAAGGTTAGGCCTAAAAGCACGAAGCAGCTTACAGCACTTTCATTCATAGGTCTCAAAGGAGGCAGTGCAGAGAGGGACATACGGTAATCCCTACTGTAGAAGGGAAAACAGTGGCCCGGAGCATTGTATCACTGAGTAGCCAAGTTGGGAATCCCACCTGAATCATTCCCATCTCTGGACAAAGCTGCCACTTCCCTATGAGTACAACAGGTAAGGGGCACAAACCTTTCACAGGCTGGGGCTAGGTTTTCTGTGGCGTACCGTGTACCTTTTTCTTCACAAGGGAGCTGACAACGACAGCTAGCAACCAGCCCTCAGCCAGGACCTCGCTGCTGCTAGAGGCAGAGCAGGGCCTGCAAGGAGAGTGTCTTGGTACGGTAGGACGGGAGTTCCAGCCAGGACGGCTGAGGTGAAAATCCTGCTCAAATCCATATGAGACACCCTTGCAGCTCAAGACATCCATCAGCTAATCCTCCCTTTGGCAATCTCCACACTTACCCCTTCCATCAAAGGAGCTTGGATTACAA